AAGTCTTAAAGTTGCCAAGGTTGGAAACTCCTGTTCTACAGTATGCCAAGAGCAGATGGGATAATATGAGTAGGTCTCCCATTTCTCATCTCAGGAAAGTCACCCTGTTCCTTGGAGTACTGCATAAAATAGTGGTGTGCAGGAAGTAATTTTGGATTTATTAGCATTTTTGGGTGTTATTTCGGAATGAGAAGAAGCACGGGTAAATTGGTAAGAGTTAAATAACTAAGTGTGTCTTCTCTGCTCTCCATCTTTATGTACTGATCTGTTTTGAAAATTACACATTTTAATTGAAAAAGGCTTTATGTCACAGTTCAGCTACTATGGTTTTTTGACACAAGCTTTTGTGGTGTTATTTTTTGTAAGGACTTTTGCAAATTGGATTCCTTCTCCCTCCGGGACAGCAGTAGCAAACATAACTTTATTTATTTATTTGATTTGTCAATTGCTTAAAAGATACAGGTATAAGAATAAACATAGTTTTGAATACATGAGATAGATACTTATAAGAAAAATAAAAAGAAACAATAGGACAGGGACGGTAGGCACGTTGGTGCGCTTATGCACGCCCCCTCCAGGCCTCTTAGAAACTTCTCCCATTCTGAATTATATCATTTGTTGAAATTACAAACCATGGGGTGAAACAAGTAGCAGATGTCTGTGTAAAAGAAGGCAATAGCACCTAGACTTATATACCGCTTCATGGTGTTTTACAGCCCTCTCTAAGCAGTTTACAGAGTCAGCATATTGTCCTCAACAATCGGGGTCCTTATTTTATTGGACCCGGGATGCATGGAAGGCAGAGTCAACCTTGAGCCGGTCAGGATCAAACTGTTGGCAGTCGGCAGAGCACTAGGCTGCAATTCTGCATTCTAACCACTGCGCCGCCACAGCCTGTTCAAGGTTTGTGCTGATTCTCTTGTTGCAGGCTCAGAGACAGCCCAGGCCTTCTACCCCATGTTCTTTGGCCAAGAACACTTCTTTGAGGAGGTTTTCTGTATTTGCATCCAGCTGTTGAATAAGACCTGGAAGGAGATGCGAGCGACTCAAGAGGATTTTGACAAGGTAAGTCCCAGATGGATTGCAGTGAGCTCTAAAAGGGATCATTTGGCTGACAGGTTTTTGAGCTGCACAGTTTTCAGTACAGGGGGACTGAATGTGTTTCTTTTCTTTTCTTTTTTAAAGTTGTGTTGGATGTCAATCTGAACTTGGCTGAAAGGGAGGAGTGGTAGAATAATGGCATTCATTGGGGCCTCTGCCTGATCTCCTCAGATTAAATACAGTCTTCTCCACCCAAAGCTCACCCACCCATGGCAATCTTTGCCCCATCATTTGCATGTTGAAAGGATCTACAACATCCATCCATCCATTCATCTTTGACCCATCATTTGCATGATTGAAAGATATTCATTCATTCATCCATCCATTCATTCATCTTTGACCCATCATTTGCATGATTGAAAGATTCATTCATTCATCCATCCATCCATCTATCTTTGCCTCATCATTTGCATGATTGAAAGATCATTCATTCATTCATGAATGCATGCATGCAATTTCTATAGCCACCCATCTCAACTGACTCCAATTTAGTTTTGGATAGAATAGGAATAGGAACAGAACAGAACATAATTCTTTATTGGCCAATTGTGATTGGACAAACAAGGAATGTGTCTCCAGTGCAGAAGCTCTCAGTGTACATACAAACAAAATGATAAGTGTCATGCCTCTGTCGGAGTCTGAATCCGGAAGATGAACAGCTGATAGGGAGTGGGAGTGTGGCTCCGTTGGCTGTGGAAGAAACTGGGGAAAGGCAGAGTCTGGCTGGGCAGAGCAGGGAGGAGGTAGAACAAGGGAGAGAGAGTTCAGAGGAAGACCCAGGCCCACCCCCTTTTCATCCTAGGGCACACAGGGAGAAACGGAGAAGAGAGCAACATGAGTTGCGTGGCTTACGGGGGAGGAAAGGGCCCTGATTTCCTTCATTAGCCACAGCTGGGAAGAGAGTTTAAAAGAAATGCATGCTGAGTGCGGCAGCTGCTGGGAGAAAATGTGAGTTTATCTTGTGTTAACTTTAGTTATCTGTGTTCTTGGTGTCTTCCCAACTGTGTTGAGTTATTGCCATGCCTTCACGTCGGGAATTCTTGCTCCTGCCCTGCCGGACTAATCATCTCATTTTGCCTTGATTGGACTTATAGTTAGTTTTTGTTGACTTGATTCTCTGCAGTCAAAGGTTGTTCCTGGGAGAGTTTTTCTCCAGCCCAGAAGGTAACCAGGATATTGGGGGAAAAGTTGGAGCTAATAAAGGGACTCCTACTAATTATCTGACCCAACTCTGTTGTCTGCAAGAAAATCTCAAACAAACGCAGCAACTCAAACCTTCACAGGTTTAATCTACAAATAAACTTCTTTGTAGATAAAAGATGGCTTGCAGCCAATTAGTCCAACCAGAAAAGCCTTGACACAATTATTCAGATAAGCCGGAGTCTCTACACACAATGCTGGCTCCTTAGACCATTTTTGCCTTCTGCAAAGGCAAAAAACTTTTGAAACCAGGCTTATATTCCCTGGAGGGAGGGGCCATTACGTTGCATCCTTACTCCCGAGTCACCTGCTGCTCCAGCTGTTCTCTTCTACGAATCATCCTGCGCTCATACGCACCAGGCACAGGCTCCCCGGGAACCTCCTCATCACTGCTGCCAGCCTCCACAATCCCTGAAGGCAGCAGTCCACTCCCTGATGGTCCTGGCCTCTCATCCGAGTCCTCGCTCTCCTCCACCGTCCGCACCTGCTGCCGGCTAACCACAACACTGTGTTGCCTTTGTGCCATGCCCCAGGTCATTACAATAGGTAATAAATCATAAATCATAGTTATAATCATTAATCAGAAGAAACAAACAACAAGTGATAAATCATAAGATACCAATAGGAGAAGGTAGGAGGACAGATGGCAAACGAGAAGGGTAATAGCAGTATAGCCTACTATTGTCCATCCGATTGACTTTTTTGTTATGAGAGATGGAGGTGTAAAAGACCCACCTGTGCAGGTAACTCTCTGGATCTTCCTTCAGGTGATGCAAGTGGTTCGGGAGCAGATCACCCGAACCCTGGCCGTGAAGCCTACTTCGCTGGAGCTCTTCAAGGGCCGAGTAAACATCCTCAACTACAGTGAGATCCTGCGTCTCCGGCAGACAGAACGCATGCATCAAGAGGAGATTCTACCTGTCCCTGTCTTGTGAGTAAGGAGGCCTCCAACTGTATCTCTGATAGTGGTTTGTGTGAGTGTGTGTGCCTGTGCAAGAGGAGGGGGGAGAAAGACACCCACAAACCTCCCTAGAACATGGAGGACTGAGTCTAGCTGGATACCCCTGCTTTGCTACGAAACTATGTGGTCAGGCTTAGTTTTTGGGGAGGAAAATAAGGAGAGAAAAAATTCTGCCTCTGCCTACCAGCATTCATCGGTATTCATCTGGCTAGCGTCCTGTCCGTGTGTGAGAGAGTTGAGGGCCGTTTGGAAACTGAAGCAGTATTTGCTGTGTGAGCAAGGAGACATCAAGGAGCCTGGGCGTGGCTTAGCTCAACTGTTCTGTAGTAAAGCTGCTTGCTGCTCTGAAACTGAAACTCCTCTCCTCTGCTTGTGTTTTGCATTTGGAACAGATTTCTTTTCAGGTGGGGAGGGGGATTAGAGCTCCTTAGCATCGGAGAGTATAAATAATAATAATATAGGAAATACTAATGCTCTGATGGTCATTTCAAAAAATACTTTCTTTGTAAGGATATATATAAGAAAACATATATATTAAGAAAAAAACACACGCACACACACACACAGACAGTGCCGGGTTCTAGAAATATGGTATCCATTACAATTTGCATACTAATGGATTCATTTTTAATCATCTGTATACGTGGTTTTTTTCTTTGTGGTGTTTACTTTAAAAAGTAAGCTCATAGAGTGTCCAGGGTAAGCTGAAAGATGGGATGTTAAGATGAGGTAGAAATGTTAGAAATAATAATGTGCTTGGAAAAACAAGATGGCTGCCTTCCCAAGGAACAAGAATGCTGTTTTCCTTTGGCTTCTTGACACCAAGTGCAAAGACTCTCACTCTTCGTGGCCATGCTAATTCTGAAAACTGAGAGTTGGGCTCTACTTTACCTGGGATACTAGTTTTAGAAAAAGTCCTTCAGGGTAAAAAAAAAATTATAATGCCATTGGAAGGTTACTGTTGGACTTGCCACAACTTAAACCTCTACATAGAAATGATCCTTGGCTCTGTTCGTTGAGAAAAGCATAGTTTATTAGAGAGTGAGCGTATTGCAGTATTGCAAAGCCAGAACTGAGAATCACACACCAAAATCCTTAAGTTCTACTTTTTCCCTCCCTTAACTATTACTCATTGCTCATCCCAGCATCACCAGTCAGGTTCGGGCAAAATGATTTCATAACACTATTTGGTATGCAGCTTCCTCCTTTTTCCATCTGGGTGCAGCGTCTCAAGGAGATAAAGCACTTACTTTCATTTCCCCAAGCATTCCACCCTGCATTGCATAGCCGCGAATCACAAGCAAGCATAGGGTGGCAGCTGACAGTCACTTAGCCCAGTGGTCGCCAACCAGTGGCCCAGGGACCACTGGTGTTCCACGAGAAAATTTTGGTGGTCCACAGAGAAATGTCACCCCCAAAGCAATTAATACAGGCTACGCGGGAACACAAGGCTGCGCCATCCATATGGCCCGCGGGAAAACAAGGCTTGCATCACTCGCATTGTGAACAATATGAGGTAGTGAGGGGAGGGGGGAAAGGGCGGAGAGGGGGAACTTGCCCCATTTGCCCCACGCGCCTCGCCTGGCCACTGGGCTGCTTCATTCTGCTTCTTTCTTCTTCTGCTTTTGGCTGCACGCAAGGAAAGCAGCAAAAGTCTTTCTTTCTCTCCCCCAAACTGCCAGAGACGAGTCTTTGGGACCCTGCAAGGCATCCTGCTCCAAGAGGTTGCACTAGTGTGACAAGTCTCACAAAGACTCATTTCTGGCGGAGTTTGGGGGAGAGAAAGAAAAACTTCTGCTGCTTCTGCTGCTTTCCTTGCATGAAGCCAAAAGTCTCTCTCTCTCTATCTCCCCCTGCGAATGGAGCTGGAGACGATATCGATTGGTAGGAAAACAGGGTGGAGAATTTTCCTGCAGACTTTTTTTTGGGATTTTCCCACGATCTCTGGTCCGTGGGATTTAAAATTATGAGTCTGGTTGTCCCTGAGGTTCAAAAAGTTGGCGACCCCTGACCTAGCCCACGTTACAAAAAGCTGTGCTCCGTTTTCTGCTCCAGGGAATTGAAGGAGCGGCTGAAACCCGAACTCATCAAGTTAATCCAGCAGCAGAGACTCCTGCATCTTTGCGAAGGGACGCTTTTCCGCAAAATTAGTAGCCGCCGTCGGCAAGGTAAAGCACAAGTCCTCGGGTTTGAGGGGGTGCGTGGAGAAGAAACCTGTGCCTTGAATGTGACCAAGGAAAGGAAAGGAAAGGAGGGTGTAAGTGCTTTGAGGCTTGCAAGATTCTGCTCCCATAACCTTACAATTGAGGTTGTGTTAGTACTCGTGGTTTTTGTGCTTCTGAACTAACTCAAAGGGCTCACCTCATTTTTGCAAGACTGAAAAGTACTTCGCCCCTCCTTTACTTTTACTTTTAGAAAACTAAGGATGGAGGGTTTCTGAGATGCTTCCCTCACCCCTTTTCCTCCTGTGGGCTCAAATTCCTCTTGTGCGACAGTTGTCTAGGCTGTGGCTCTTCCTCCTGTTGCCCATGTACCATTCCCACATAACATTGTATCTTCAACATATATCTTCAAAATACAAAGAACGGAACTGAGCATGGCTAGTCTAGTAAAGAAAAGGACCAGGGGAGACAGGATAGCGGTCTTCCAATATTTGAGAGGCTGCCACAGAGAGGAGGAGAGGATCAAGCTATTTTCTAAAGCACCTGAGGGCCAGACAAGGAATAATGGATTGAAACTGATCAAGGAGAGATTCGACCTGGAAATCAGGTGGACAATCAACCAATGGCAGAATAATCAAGCATTCAGAAGTTTTTTGCATTCAGAAGTTGTGGGAGCTCCGTCACTGGAGGCTTTCAAGAAGAGACTGGACTGCCATCTGTTAGACAAGGTGTAGGGTCTCCTGTTTGAGCAGGGGGGGTTGGACTAGATGACCTACAAGGTCCCTTCCAACTCTGTTAATCTAATCTAATTATGATATTGTGTAGATGAATACTTTGTGAATTGGCAAGCTCTCTCTCCACTTCAGGAGACATCCTATGACCAGGTCTCCAAATTCCATACAGGTAGTCTTCGACTTAACGACCATAACTCAGCCCAACATTTCTGTTGCTAATTGAGACATTTGTTAAGTAAGCTTTGCACCATTTGACGGCCTTTTTTGGCCACAGTTGTTAAGTGAATCACTGCAGTTAAGTTAGTAACCTTGTTGTTAAGTGAATGTGGCTTCCCCATTGGTTTTGCTTTGTCAGAAGGTCGCAAAAAAACACTATGACTGTCATAAATATGAGTCAGTTTCCAAGGCATCTAAAATTTTGAACCATGAAGATGCGGCAAGGATCATTAAGTCAAACAGTCAAAGAGTCAAAGAGTCACTTTTTTCAGTGCCGTTGCAGCTTGGAACAGTCACTAAACTCGAGGGCTGCCTATAGATCCCCCTTGGCCTCAAAGACCCCCATTCCTTTCCCAGATCAATTGCCAGATTTGGAAATACTTGATTTCTAAGCCCTTTAACGCCCTGGGAAGCAGAGAAACATGAACAATTTGGAGTTCGTCACATCATGAATGCTGGCTGCTAGGAAAGACGGCGGGAGGGAAGACAAGATGGCGGGAACTGTTGGCATTGAAAGATGGAGAAAATCTATTACACCAGACGTGTTATTGGGTACTTTGAGTGTTTTTCTTCTCTTTGGCAGATAAGCTCTGGTACTGCCGCCTTTCTCCCAACCATAAATTTCTCCATTATGGAGATGTCGAAGAAGGTGTCGAAAGCCCACCAATAGAGAGCCTGCAGGAGAAAGGTGCGTGACAATTCCCCATCTTTTGTAGGCTTATTTATCTCACCTTTACTCCCAGGACGGTTAGCGAGGCCACTTGCTTCCCAACTACGGCACCCACAAAGAGGAAGGGACGGGTGGAAAGATTAGGGCGCTAAGTTTGCTCACGAATGCTTTCCTGATTTAAGATCTTGTCCTTATCCAGCCTTATGATTCTGTCTGGCTGGTGAATTTAGCTATTTTTTGTTGTTGTTTTGATTCTAATGGATTTGATTGTTTCCTCTTGGAAAGCAATAGCAATAGCCCTTAAGACTTATATACCGCTTTACAGTGCTTTGAAGCCCTTTCTTAGCGGATTACAGAGTAAACATTTCCCCCAACAATTTGGGGGAAAATTTTACCAACCTCGGAAGGATGGAAGGCTGAGTCAACCTTGAAAGCAGCCAGAACACCTGTCTCAATCTCATGGCTTTCTTAGATTTGAGGCTTTCATGTTTCGCATTGTGGAATCTTCTTCGATCTCGGTAAAGCTTTAATCTGCAAATTACGTTTCTCTCTAGTGTCTGTGACTGACATGAAAGCGTTGCTGGTGGGCCGGGAATGCCCCCACACCAAGGAAAAGAGTTCAGGCAAGCAGAATAAGGTAGG